GGGATAAAAGGAAGCAACAGCAAGAAAATAATATAATGACAAAGACAAGTCAATACCTATCAGTCATAGCTATCAGTGTGAATGATCTCAACTCACTAATCAAATGACACAGATTGGAAGAATGGATCAAGAGACAATATCTAACAATATGTTCTATGCAAGAAACATACTAAACCCAACAAGAAATTCATAGACTGAAAGTCAAAGGATGGAACCAAATACTCCATGCAACAGAAGCCCAGAAAAAGGAAAGATAAATTAGAATTTGGACAAAGTGGATTTCAGCCAAAACTGATTAGAAGAGACAAGAAGGTCACTACATACTGGTTAAGGTAACAATTCAACGGGAAGACATAACAATCATAAATATATATGCACCAAATATATACTGCTTTATTTCTTGCTATTTCTGGCACATGAAACTTTATAAAACAAACACTAGTGGACATGAAAAATCAGATAAGCACCAATACAAATATAATGGGGAATCTCAACAGCAAATTATCACAAATAGACAGATAAACCAGACCAAAACAGTCAATAAAGAAGTATCAGAGTTAAACCAAACCTCTCAGCAAATAGACTTAATAGATACATATAGAGTGTTCCACCCAGCACATAGTACACTTCTTTTCAGCAGCAAAAGGGACTGTATTCAATATAGACCACATACTAGCCCACATACCATGCTTACATAAATGCAAAAGAATTGCAATTATCTCACACATTATCAGATCACAGTGGAAAGAAACCAAAACTCAAAGGCAAAGACAGCACAGAAATTATGTAATGGATGGAAATTTAATAATACCTTGTGGAATAATCAATTTGTTAGAGGAAATTAAAAATGAAATAATGCAGTTCTTACAATAAAATTACAATGAAACTATGACATACCAGAACCTATGGGGCACAATGAAAGCAGTCCTAAGAGGGAAGATAAATTACCACATCAGAACAACAGAATAAGCTCAAATACATAACATAATGATGCAACTCTAGGTTCTAGGAAATCAAGAACAAACCAAACCCAAAGATAGTATGAAGAGGTAAATTATAAAGATTAAAAGAGAAATTAATGGAATTGCAACAAATCAATACAAAGAATCAATGAATTAAAGAGTTAGTTTTTTTTAAAGATTAAACAAAGTAGACAAATCCTTAGCTACCCTTATCAAAACAGGAGAAGACCCAAAGTAATGCAATTAAAGGTGAAAAGGGAAAAATTACAACAGATCACGGAGAAATTCAAAATAACATGTGTAACTTCTTTGAGAACCTGTACTCTAATAAAATGGAAAATTCAGAAGAAATGGATAAATTCCTAGATACATATGAACTGCCAAGACTGAATTAAGAAAATGTAAAAGTCCTGAATAAACCAATATGAGTCAATGAAATTAAAGAAGTAATAAAAAAAACCTACCAACTAGAAAAGCCCAAGTCTTGAGAGATTCATTGCCAAATTCTACAAGAACTTTAAAGAATATCTATTGCCAATTCTCTTCAAACTCTTTAATGAAATGGAAAGGGAAGCAAGATTCCCAAATTCATTCCTGGAAGCAAGCATTACCCTGAAATAAAAACCAGAGAAGATTCCAATCAAAAAAGGAGAACTGCAGGCCAATCTCCCTAACATAGATGCAAAAATCCTCAATAAGATGCTGACAAAGCAAATACATCAAATCACCATAATACTATACACCATGACCAACAAGAATTCATTCAAGGGACGGAGGAATGGTTCAACATACGCAAATTGATAAGTACCATATTAACAGAAGCAAAGGCAAAAACCACATGATCATCTCAATAGACTCAGAAAAAGCATTTGACAAAATTCAACATCCATTCATCATAAAACTCTAAAGAAAATTGGAATAAAAACTATCTATGACAAATCAATAGCCAACATCATACAAAATGGTCAGCAACTGAAAGTTTCACTCTAAAATCAGGAACAAGAGAAGATGTTCGCTATCACTACTCTCCTTCTCAACAGTCCTCAAAATAGTAGAGCAATTACACAAGAGAAACAAATACAAGGAATATGGGTAGGAAAGGAAGAAGTTAAATGATTATTATTGGCTGCTGACATGATCCTTCACATAGAAGAGCCCAGTAACTCCACCAAAAAATTACTAGAATATTCAAATTCAGCAGTGTAACAGGATACAAAGTCAACACTCAAAAATCAAGAGCATTCCTGTACACCAATAACGTACTTACCAAGAGAGAAATTATGGAAACAGCACCTTCCACAACAGCATCAAGAAAAATGACATCCAGGCTGGGGACATAGCTTAGCGACATAGTGCCTGCCTAGCAAGTGCAAGGTCCTGAGTTCGATTCCCAGTACCAAAAAAATTGCAAAAATAAAAATAAAAAATATAATGACATCCATAGGAATCAATGTAATCAAGGATGTGAAAGACTTGTACAATGAGAATTTATTACCCAGAAAAAGGAGATCAGAAATGATAACAGAAAATGGAAAGGTATCCCCTGTTCCTGGAGAGGCAAAACAAATATATTGAAAATAACTATAATTCCAAAACCATTATACAGAATGAATGCGATCTCAATCAAATTATCAATAGCATTTATCACAGAACTATAGAAAACAATTCTCTAAAATCAGAGGATGAAACGAGAAGAGACCTAGAATAGTGAAAACAATTCTGGGCAACAAGGACAAGGCAAGGGGCATCTCAATCCGACTTGAAGTTGTACTAGGAACCTACAGTGATTAAAAAAACAAACAAACAAACAAAAAAAAAACCAAGCATATTATTTGCAAAAAAAATCCTCTGACTTGTCAATCAATGGAACAGAACAGAAAATGTACAAACTACTCCAGGCACATTTTGCTACCTTATCTCTGACAAAGGGGCTGAATGCCTTTGCCAGAAGAAAGATAGCCTCCTTAACAAAAGGTGCTGGGAAAAATGGCTTTCCACATGCTGAAGATCAAGATTAAACCTTGACCCATATCTCTCACTATATTCTAAGCTAAAATTGAAATGGATCAATTAGGATAGAAACAACTTAATCTGCTGAAAGACAGAGAAGGTAAAACTCTTGAAAATATAAGTGTAGGCAAAGACTTCATGAACAAAACTTTCTTTGCAGAGGGAATACCACAAAGAATCAACAAAATGGGATCACATCAAACTGAAAAGCTTCTGCACAGCAAAGGAAATCACGAAGACAGCGAAGAAACAACTTGCAGAATGGGGAAAAATTTTGGCCAATCACTCCTCAGTATCACTAATATCAAGAATGTCTAAAGAACCCCCAAAATTTTTATTTCCCCAAATTTAAAGATCTAATCCAGAACTGGGTATCTGAAATAAGGAGACACTGCTCAGATGAAGAAGTACAAATAACCAAGAAGTATATGAAAAATGCTCAGCCCTGGTTACTCAATAGATGCACATTAAAACAACACTGAGATTCAATCTTACTCCAGAAAGAATGACTATCAGAAATAAATCAACCAACAACAAATGCTGGCAGGGGTACACCATGGAAAAAGGCACCCTTCTCCATTGTTGGTGGGAGTGTAAATTGGTACAACCACTCTGGAAGAGATTCTTCAAAAAACTGAAACTAGAGGTTCCATTTGACCCAGATATTCCCTTTGTAGGGAGTATCTCTGCAAAAGAGTTAAAAGCATCATGCTATGGTGATACACATAACACATACACATGTTATAGCAGCACAGTTCACCATAGCTAAATCTTGAGAGCAGTCTATAATTCCATCAACAGATGAATGGATAAACAAAATGTGGTATTTTTAAAGGATAAAATTTGAATCATTTTCAGGTAAATGGTTGCACCTCAAGACCATAACCTTAAGTGAAATAAATGAGGCACACAAGTTTAAATATCACAATATTTTACTTGTGTGAAAAAAACAAGGACAAACAAAGAGCAAATGGGGGAGAGATATTAGGAAGTTAGAAGACCTTGTTCAAATGGCAAGAGAAATAAATAAGAGATGGGGGAGGGAAGGAAAGAAAAGGAAACAGGATTTAAAGAAAAAAATTGAAAGAAAAAATGGAAACAGAGCCTTTGTAAATGGGGAGACAAGGCAGGACTGGAAGGTGGGGAGTTGAGGGAACCAAAAACACCAATTAAAACGTGCTATATATAAGTACACATTCCCCTATGAGGAAAGTGACCACTATATATTGCAAACATGTACTTGTAAAGAAGAGAAGGAAAAAAAAAAAAGAATAACAGTGATTCCATCTCCATCTTCAGCAACACATACACACAGATACACACACAAACACAAATAAAGCAAAAAAAATTATAATGATAACAATGAACACTATCAACTTTATATTGTTGTCTCATTTAATCTTCACAATAGGGAGCAAATGCATTCTTATCCCCAATTCATGTACAGTTGAATCTCCTCAGACTGATAAAAAAAAAAAAGGCACTTATTTTTTCTTCACAGAAGAAAAGTGAGTTTTCATGCTGTGGAGTACTTAACCATGGTATATTCTGTTTTGTTTTTTTTTTTTTTTTTTTTTTTTTGGTTTTTCTCCGGCACCGGGAACCGAACTCACGACCTTGCACTTGCCAGGCAGGTGCTTTGCCGCTGAGCTAAATCCCCAGCACCACCATGGTATATTCTGAAGAGTGTTCTTCTGCCTACTCCAGTCTCCAAATACTAACAATTGTAATATATTGAATTCTACCAAGAACCAGTGAGTCCTGAGGAGGACTCCAACCTCAGATGACACTGCAGTCCGAGCCATATAATTTGAGAGTTTCCTGAGTCATAATGTTGAACCTCTGAAAGCAACTAACATTTCCATTTCTCACTTTCTCTGTAGAGATTAATTAGCTTATTTGTCTCCTCCAAATATTTAGGTTACATACCACTAATAAGCAAATTAAAATGTTGTACCTAAATGAAAAATATTGATTAAAGTAATAAATATGTCTAGATCTTTTTAAAAATTGATTTTAATCACTTACCCTCGTATAATCACATTCAGTGCCATCCGGAATTTTGAATGGATCTGGAACAGTTTCGTAGACTGCGGTTATACAAGTATAATTTCTTATACGAAGATAAAGTACACTACTAACATTGGGGTGAAAGAAAGGAGCTCGATAAGGATAAGTACAAATTAATCTTCCACACCGAAAATTCCTGCAATCATAATAAAGCATATAATTATTATGCATTAAGCATTAATGAGGAATGCTTTGTATGTGTCTTTTTTTTGACAAAAATGGTTCTCTACTTATGGTGATGTGCTTTGGGAAAATGTAAGTGTGTGTAGTAATATTTATTTATGTTTGAAGGATGAGAGGTTTATATTTCACTTGAGGTTTCATAGATAATAGTATTCAAAGTAAAAAGTAAATTCAAAATAAAAATTCAGTGATTTAAATTATATGTCAATGGTACTAATGGACCTTTATTCACTGTATAGATTATATATTTATCATTAAATACTCAATTCACTACAATATACTATGTCGGTCTACAAGATAGAATGATAAATAAATTTGTTACCTCTACACTCAAGGACTTTATTTTCTGATATAAATGTGATACAAATATATTAAAATGCCACAGGGAAACAAATCCTTACCAAATTTTAAGATAAAGATGTAGCCTAACTTAGTAGTTACGGAAAACTGAAATACAAGTTATATCATTCAAATTAAAACTTACAAATTGTTATCCATGGGAATGATGAGGTAACAAATCAAGGAAACACAAAACTACATGGTATGTCCCATCAGTCTGCAAATTCCATGAGTGTATGAATATTTATTGCTTTACTCAGAATGTGGCACACAACCGTTTCCTAAAATGTTAAAGCTACTTCTTCAGATGCAGGAGGAATTGAAATCAATTTTACAGACAATTAGCAGTTCTATCTTGGGCAAGAAACTAAGCAGACTGCACACTGTTTTTATAAGCAAAACTCAGTATGTTTAGACAGGAAAGGTGAAGTAGGTATTGTGAGTCTCAACTTTAGACTACATTTAAGAGCTTAACATGTAAAGTTTAATAATTAGATACAATTTCAGCATATAGCATAAGAAAGATATCGGGTATGGAACTTTCATTTGAGATTCACTTCCCTGCACATATCATACTAGAAACCACTGGAGTGAATAACATATAATGAAGAAAATAAAAAGTAAAACTTAAAAGAACATAAGAAAGTATCATTAATATGTTTACACCATACCTCCATCCACAATATAAAAGTCTGTTGTCTTTTAAACCACAGTGTCCAAATCTATCTACATGAATATGTATTTCCTTATAGCAAATAAATGGAGCATTTTCTGAGTCTGTGAAAATAAAAACACATTTGGATTAACACATATAGTTCTTTTTCCATGTACATGTTTCCTTTACCTCTTTTGCTCTTAGTAATATTTATCAAAACTTTCCTACTGAAGTTGTAAGATTAAAAAAAATAAAAGCCAATGCTCATATTTATTACTCCTTTTCTTCACCTTCATTCATTTCCTTCACAAAAAGTAATACAAGAGGAAAGAGAGTCATTGAGGTATAAACTAGAAAAGGGCTCTGTAAAAGAAAGCAATAGAGAGGTAATACAAGGAAACTGTACTTGCCCTAGATTCTTAGTGAAAACTCATAAAGTCAGGTCTACAATAAAGTCAAAGAGGTTTCTCTTCAATGAGAAATAATTTCATTGTATCTTTTGGTAGTCTAAACGAGGTAAGATAGAAGAAATCAAAGTAGGTAGAAAGGAGACAAAGGAATCAAGATTTTAAAGGTGTGTTTATAAGAAAAACTGCAGCTTCAAGAAATTTTTTTTTCCCCCTACTTCTGGAGGCCATCCTAGCTTGTGATGCTCCTCCTTCAACCCTTACAGAGAATAGTTCTAAAGGTTCTTTTATAATAACCCATTTATTTCCAGCCAATAGGCCCATCTTTTTCACACGAAAATTGCCCTTTCCTCTCCACTTCAAATGGATCTCAACTTCAAACAGCTTATCTGCAGCTCAAGCACATATCTCAAATATGTACAGTGAGAATACACATTCTAGATCATTTATCTTGAAGAAAGCCTTTAAATGTGCCTTATGTCATGTTTCTTTGAGCACCTACCCTCCCCTCTTGAGTGTGTGTCATATGCACTGCTTTGACTAATAAATCCTACTTGTGTTTCTTTTAGTGGAGCATCCTGAAAATTCTTTCCCATGGGAATCATTGAACCTGCAAACTTATTTTAAAAGGGTGGGTTAAATTATTTATTTCAGCCAAGAGGACCACAGACTCAACCCTGTGATAAACTGAAGGCAACAACATTACTAACCTCTACATTTATCTATTTTTCCTGCACTAGCATGTTGGTATTTTACTACTGCATTAAAAAAATACCAGAGATTTGGCAGTTTAAAACTATAACCATTTATTCTGACACGGTTTTTGTAAATCAGTACCCTAAAAAGCATAAGCTGAATTTCTGCTCAAAGTCTCTCTAGGATAAAATCAAATTATATGGCTGGGACTGCAGTGTCATCCAGGTTGGAGTCCTCTTCAGGACTCACTGATTCTTGGTAGAATTCAATATATTACAATTGTTAGTCTGAGGCCCATAATTTCTTGCTAGCTGTTTGTGACTGCTCTTGGCTCTTAGAGACAACCTCAAGTCATGCACACACGACCTTCTTACAATATGGATACTTATGACTTCCAAGCCAGCAGAATTTTTCTTGACATTCCCCATCATTCAGGGTTTCACATGATTAGTTCAGACTACTCAGGATGATCTCTCTTTTGATGTACTCAAAGCTAAATGATTAAGAACTCTGACTACACCTTCAAAAGCCTTTCATCTTTTCTATACAAGATAATCATCTCAACACTGAGAAGTCCAAGTCCCCAGTCTCCTCTGAGATTTAAGACAAACTCTTCGCTGTGAGCGCCTGTACAAATGCAGACTCAGGTGTCAGATCTGAATGCACAGGTATAAGGGCTAAGATCCACCCTTGTGGACACAGTAAACAAATCCACACAAGGCTAACTATATGCTGCCTCTTCACTTCAGTTTTTTTTTTTGTTTTGTTTTGTTTTTTGTTTGTTTCTCTGGTACCGGGAACCGAACTCATGACCTTGTGCTTGCCAGGCAGGCGCTTTGCCGCTGAGCTAAATCCCCAGCCCTTCACTTCAGTTTTAAGAACACACATACACTGAAAGTGAAGTGATAGTAAAAAATATGCCATGCAAATGGAAACTAAAAAATAGCAAGGGAATTTATATACGATGATAAAGGAGTTAAGATAGCAAGCCATCAGATCCTGCACTAGTTTTGGGTGTGATATGTTTTATTATTTACACAGTTTCCTTATAACCAAAAGGAAATATATTTCAGCCTTAGCACAGAGGAAATTCTGGCATTTGGGGGAACAAGGACAAAAGTGGAGGGCAATAAATCAGATACATAGAGAAATATGATCCACAGTCAAATTAATATGTGAAATCAAAAATCATCAAATTCCTAACAGATGTTCCTTTTAAGAGACTTGGAAAAGCGGGAAAAGGGAAGGTGTTGGTCAAGTGGTAAAATGTGTAAGTTTAGGTCATCTAAAGTACAGCTATGTGACTGACTGTGTAAATAAACCTATATTTCCTACCTGAAATTTGTCTAAAAGTAGATCTTAATATTTTTAAAAATGAAAAACAAAAATGATAACTATGTAAAGTGAGGGATATCTCAATTACCTTAATTTTTGTGAACCTCACAATGTGTACCAAAGTCATATACCTAAAGACATACAGTTTTTGTCAATTGTGCTTTAATAAAGATGGGAAATATATACAAATATTAAAAATTTAAAATAATATTTTGTATTATTGTAAGGGTAATAATAGAAACACTGAAGGACAACTATTTGTATGTAAAACAATTACCGTCTCCAAACAGCTTCTTACAACGTGTATCAAGATCCATGCAAAATGAATTATAACATATGAATGAACCTCTGCATTTGTGTCCATTTTTGACAAATACATTAGGTGGACAAACTGCTGAAGATCCAGGACAATATTCAGGGATATCACACTCAGGGTCCTCTTTGGGCCTGCATACAACATTTGGGTCTGCAAACTAACAGAAATTAAGATACAAAAAAGTTACACATAACGTTGTTTAATTTATCAACATTTGTTTCATATATATGTGAATTATCCGATTCATGCTTATTATCTTTTTATAATTATGCTTATTATTAAATATTTTGAATATCATCAATTAAAATGGAGATAAGAAATATATATGAACAAGTATACTAAAAACCCAGTAAGATAAAACCAAAGCTTTATTTGCGTTTTTAGTATAAAGGAGCAAAGTTCACTTTTCGCATTGGAAAACTATTCTTTTTGACAAAAGTCTTTAATTTCCAAATAAAATACTGTATTCTTATTCAAACTGTAATTTTTAAGTATGGAATACTTCCATATTCTATGACAAATGTGAAATACTATATAAGTAACTGACAATGAACAAAGGGAAACAGATCAGTGAATAATGAAGTAGTTCAACTATCGGAGTTTTTCAGAGAACCTTATTGTAATCTTTCTCCTGAATTATGTTATAGTTCATTAATTCCTTCATATAAAGTATTCAGAAATTCTATATGAAGAATCTTAAATAATCATCAATCTCATAATCCTTAATTTATTATTTCAACTTGATACTAAAAAGATTACAGAAGTATGAATGGAACCTGGTAAGATTCTAGAAAAAATATGAAACTATGTCAATTGCAGACAGTTAATAGACAGGACCCATGGTAGGAAGTTCAAAAGAGATTTCTTCTGAACACACAGGAAGAACTTTAAAAGAATTGAGGAAGTAGCAGTCAACATTTCACCACATAAGATAAATTGTGATCTTTCAAGTCAAATAAGCTTTACATCCCAAGTTTATAGTTTAAATTTTGTTATATACACTATTTGTAAAAGGTGAAAGGTTTATGAGATCTGAAGAGAAACCAGAGTATATATATACACTATTTGGAAAATGTTACTTCTATTGGGTTGCATTCCTTAAGTAGATACGAAAAATTCTGTAGTTTTAAATTGTACATGTATGCAACGTTATCAGAACCAGTAACAACATTTTGGATGTAAACGTATAAATATGAAATAAAATGAAAAAACACTTGTTTACTGCTCTGGAGATCTCCTTGTTGACAAACTCTACAACAGTTCTCAATTAAGGCTTTAAAATAACAGCACCAAGTTAGTGAGCATTACACAGTGGCCCCAACATCTGACAAAAGTTTACAAGAACAGGAACATGACTCTGAAAGAGTCACTTGTTCTGATTTAAACCTGTAGTTTAAAGTGTTCTAATGTCTCCTACACATGATTCAATATATAGTTTTAAAGATTAATAAAATTAAACCTTACTTTACATTCCTTGCAGCATGGTCCATCAGCACATTCTGATCCTGGTTTTACCGTGCATTTTTCAGGATCACAGCAGCTTTTAAGTCCACATTGCTATGAATAAATGAAATGTACATGTAACAATAAAGTTTGACAACAATAAGATCTTTGGTAAGAACTGTATTTGCTGGGGTTAGTTTTTAATTTTTGAAAAAGAACATGAATGTTTTTGACACAGAGTTTAGCATCTCTAAAGATACTTATAATACTAATGTCAAGTTTTAACCTTAGATCATAATATGATAACTGATATTCCACTTATAGTCCTATCCATCTAGAATATTGAAAAAAAATACATGAAGTAAGTTTTTCCAGAAATTGGATAGCACACAAAGCAGAACTCTAGTTCACTAGAGAAGAGAAACACATGGCCCAGGCTCTAATTGTCATCTTTCCATCAGGAGGTATTTTTTTCCAAGTATGATGATTTCAGTGACTTAAAAAGAAAAGGTGGCTGTTTCAAGTTGCTAATTAGTGGTCAAATTATTGCTGTCTAGTGAGTAACCTAGTGAAAAAACGCTACAATTCTCCACAACAGCCATCAATTCATGGGTTTAAAAATATATTAAACACTACAGAAAAACATGAGAGAGCATAAAGAAACTGTAATATAAATATATCAAGACAAAAGGAAGAAATATCAGCCTCAATCAAGCAGTCCGTGTGTAATTGTAGTTCAAAAAGGGTCAAAGGAGGTGAAGAAGTGATTGCTAAAATTCTTCCAAATGTATTGGAAACTAAAATCATATATATCCAGGAGAAGCATCTGTCTTTAAGCAGAGCAAATATCAATAGATTCACACTTCATAGTCAGCTGCTAAAATCCAAAGATTAAAAAGAAAATGTGAAAGCAGCCCAAAAAGCAAACAATTTCATTCATAAAAAAATAAGTTTAATACTATATTTCATATGGCTATAACATTAATTATTGCTAATTTCATGGTGTTCTAAATATATTCATGCCTTCTTGATATATAGGTCTGATAAGATGTAAAACTGGGATTGTTAATGGTGATAACCTTTTTCTTTCAAACTCAGATATTTGCCTTTTAAGAAAAAGAAAAAGAAATCTGCCTGTTTCTTGTGCTCCAGCAACTTGTTATTAGAGGTTTATGTCAAACCAACATGAGACCACCTGTCAGAAAATTTTTTTTTACAAAAACAAGGCTTTTGTGATGTACATGTTATGTACATTACACTACACTTAGGGATGCTTAGACCCTAAACAGTCCAGACAATGTCACAAACTTCTTTAATGATATCCCACTAAAGAATAACAAATGCTTTTTAGAATAACAAATTAGATGAGAGTTACTTTGTGTCATTAAATGTCTAATGATCCCAAGGAGATGACTGACTAAAAAGGCTGTTCTGTACTAAGATGGACATTTAAGTGTTACAAAAATAATGCCATTATGGTTGTCATGCTGAACTATGTGTGGCTTTTTATCTCAATTTTTCTTTGTAAAATTATATAACTTCTCTCTGTTAACACACTACAGGGACTTAACTCCTAGAACAACTGTGGTTGGTAAAAACAAACAAACAAAAAAAAAACACAGTCCTCTGGCTATATATTATACTTCAGGGGGTTCAGATAAAATTATAATAATTAAACACACTGCAATACTCCTACTGCAATACTAATATCACTGATCTCTTTTGGGTATGCAACAAGTGAAGTTTAGAGGCCAAAACTAGAAAGGTAACTGGGCTAAGAGGACAGCCAACATTTTGGCCCAGGCCCTCCAAGGCCAACAAGGACCCTGGATATGAATAAACCTGTTTATGTAAGATCTTACAACCTTGGTGTATCACCTACCCCCTGACCAGGGAGATTGTTGAGCCCCAGAGGACAAAAAAATCAACAGTGTACAGTGTACCTAAGTGGGTCACCTCGAGAAAAGTCTCCCTAACTTTCAAAAAAAAACAACATGGTCAATTGTACTGATGGCTGACACTGACAGAGGAGTTGATAGGCTTTATACATAGCTCCAAAGTAATATCTGAGGAGAGTTAACTGACCTAGATAGACAACAAGAGGTTCATTTTAATTATCACAGGTCTCACTTTAACGTGGTCTTAAACATCCAGCAAAAAAGTATAACCAAAAGATGTATAAAAACAATGCCATAATAACAAGCTAGATGTACAAAGGAGCTCAGATAAGTAACTACTTCTGGCAATTTCCAGCTACCCTACTAGCTAACCACTATTATGGATCAATAAAAAAAAACTACAGTAGAATCTATAAAAGCTAAACAAAAGGCCTTAAATTCCTTAATTAAAATCAGTTAAAACTAGACAGTCTTATGACAGAATATTAGGCTCCATGAATAGAGGAGCCAATGGGTTACAGCAGCTATTTTGGTCCAATGAGAACAGTTTCTAGACTTGCCTCTTTCCCCAACCAGTTTTTCCATTCTATTGCTCATGCTTTATTATACATGCTCTAATTTCTTAAAAAAAAAAAAAAAAAAAAAAAAAAAAAAAAAAGCTTATTCTTGCCTAGAGGGCAGCAAACTCCAAGTGATCATGCAGATGAAACCAGTGATAAATGTGCTAGATTTCTTCTACCAAGGTCCATGAGATCAACCTCATAAAGAGAGTTCGTAAGTGCTAACCTAAAAGGCTTACATCTGAGCCCCAATAGAGTAGTTGGTCTCCCTTACATCCACACTTCTCAGCTAAAAGCAGTTAGATAAAAACTACACCCAACCGCAGTTACTGATAGATCTTCAGGGGAAAAACATTGTGAAGCTAATTTAGTCATAAATATTACAGACAGACAGGGTTGGGCCCTCAGCACAAAAGACAGTTATAGACAAAGTCACACTCACTAAAGGCCAAGCTTTCAAAAAAAAAATTCATATCTACCTTTGAAAACTCAAATAAATACAAAGGGAGAACACAGTTGCCCCCACAAACATACTTAGACCTTGGTACTTTTACTTAAAAATTTGCTTTAATCCTCTGACAAAAAATAAATACACTCCATGTGAACTTCATTGACAAAAGGCCAGACTGACAAGCATGTGTAGGGCTCAAGTCCTGTAAAAGGACAACTAAACAAAAAAGTTGGATGGCCTCATGAAGTTAAAAACATGGGAAACCCCACAGATCTCATTGCCAACCCGACTATATAAATACTATCAGTAAAGTCTTCTTAAATTTTAGTTTTGATTTCTGTTTTCCAGAATATCTGACATTCACACTCTTTTGTTCTTTTCCTGGGTCAGTCAAAGGGTTGAGAACTTTTCAAATGAAATACAAATCATATAGATATAGATATAGATTTAGATGATATACATATGTTGTTGGTTATTTACGTGTTGATATTACTGACACTTCTTCCCCATGAAGTAGTCATATGAATTAGAAACAATACTCCATAGCTTGAAGTATTTGCTTTTAAATGGAGACAATTCCAAAGTTTAAGAGGCATCACAAAGACAAAGACATACTCTCCAAAATGACCTTCAGGCCAGGTGCAGTGGCACACACAAGTAGAAAAAACACGCAGGAGGTTGAGTCAAGAGGATCGCCATGAGTTCCAGGGAAGCGTGGACTACATAATGAGTTCAAGGCCAGTCTGAGCTACACAGTGAGGCCCTATCTCAAGAAACCAAAATAAGGTCTGGGCTCTGTGGGCTCCAGCAATTGCCTGCGGACCCTCGAAACTGTGGCCCATGTTCTGCTACCACCACACTTCACATCTGGGCCCTGCATGCTCCTTCAGCAGCCTGGGGATACTAGACTAGGCTGTCTGCATTCCACTGCCACCACGGTATTCACCTCTGAGCCCTGCAGGCTCCAGCAGTTCCGAGGAGACCTCAGAGTGGGCATTCCCTGTTCTACTGCAATCATAGTTCACATCTGAGCCCTGTGAGAGCTAGGTACACTCCATTAACTGCCTGTTGACCCCAGAATGGGCAGCCCATCTCCATTGCCATTCTGGGGCAAGTCTGACCCCCAAGAAAACTAGGGATGCTAGGGACCTTCAGTGAGCTGCAAGGGAAGGGTGACACTGGGTGGTGCTCAAACTCTGGCATCAAAAATGATTAGACAAAGAAGCAAACTACAATCTCTGAACTCCACCACACTGAGAACAAGTCCAGCAGACATCAACATAGGAGAACTTGGTAATCACACACCTGAAATCTCTGAAATGGGAGCCTCACACACTCTGTGCCGAGAGAGCAAGTACTCTGGGGGCTGCAGGGCCCGTGGGTTCGAGTCTGTGCTTGGCCCACACTGCCATGGTTGCCAGCTGAAATGCGCTGAGAGAGCCAGGTATTTTCCATCTACTCTCTGAGGGCAGAGCATGAGAACAAGGACCCCGCGGACATTACAGACTGAATCGCTGCTGACCCGGGCACCCACAGCAGAGAGGAGGTCTTGACTCAGAGGCCCCGGGGACGACTCTGGCTGGGGGCTGGGTGAGCAGGCTCTCTGAGCCCCGTGCGACCTGTACCGAGAGAACGAGTACTCTGGGAGCTGAAGGGCCTGTGGGTTCAAGTCTGTGCTTTGCCTTTGCCCAGACCCTCTAGCGAGTTGAAGGCTGGGGAAGTCTGTGACTGCTACCCATCTAGGCTGCATCTGGTTCCTGTATGTGTCCTGAACTGAGTGGAGACATAGATTCAGGTGGTTCACAAACTGTAGACCCTGCAGTTTGTGTCCGAATTATGCATGTACCCTAAACTCCCTGGAGACATAGGTCCACTGGACCAGGATTGTCACACCAGTGCAACCTGAGTCAGGTCGTGCACGTGCACTGAACTGCAAGGAGACGCTGGATCAGAAGGTCGGCCATCAACTGACACAAGTGCCCGTGACTGAGAAGGGCGATAACTACATACAAATCAAAAACTTCCGGAAATCCCAACACTAAGTAGCACTACTCAGAGGTCATCCAGAGGCAAAACTGAACAACAGGAAAAA